CTTATCTTCTGCTTCTCGTCTCTGTTTACTTTCTTTATACCTATTGTCCCACCAGTCTTTCCTTTCCATCTCCCAGGCCTCTCTCTCTCGTCTCATTTCTTCTCTGTTTTGCTCCAGCTCTTTGATGAGCTCTTCTTTTGATTCAGATTCTATTTGCTTCTCCAAAGTTTCCAGTTTTTGTTTCCATAGTTGTTGTTGAGTTTCTTCCTGTTCTTTCCTCTTTCTGTTTTCATCTTCTCTGATTTTCTGTTCTCTCTCTCTCTCTTTTCGCTCCTGGTTAATGCGTTGCTCCATCTGCTTGAGTTTTTTCAAGCTCTGCTCTTTCTCAGACTCAAATTTAGAGATCTGTTCTTCCATTTCTCTTTTTATTTTTTGCATTTCTTCTTCGTGTTTCCTTTTAAGCACCCCCTTCTCTCTTATCATGTCTTCATCCTTCTGTTTCAGCAGCCTCTCCATCTCCATCTGTATCGCTGCCTCAGCCTCTTGGAACATCTCAGTGGTGTAGTATCCGCCATAATTGTCTTTCAACATGTCTTCAATTTTCATCAGCAGGTCTGACACTTGTCTACGGTTTTTTGGATCTTTGTTGTTGAAGACGTGGTATCTGCCTCCACAGTCTTTAATCAGAGTTTTTACAAAATCAGAACAGTCTTCTTCTATGTAACGTTCAATAGTGTCTTCAAGCTCATCTCCTCTGGTGAAGGTAACAATGATGAAGTTTCCTGACTTCTTTCCAAAAATCTCTTTGATCATTTTCACAGTTTCTTCTTCCTCCTCTGTAAATCGACCGATCTGCAGCACCAGTAAGAACACGTGAGGTCCAGGAGACAACATGCTGATACAGTTCAGAAGCTCCTGTCGAACTTCATAACTGGACAGTTTTGTGTCAAACAAGCCGGGGGTGTCGACCACAACAACAGGACATCCATCAATCTCTCCTGCTGCTTTCTGACATTCTCTGGTCACAGATTTCTGACTGACTCTGGATAAAAACACCTTTTTGCCCAAAATGGTGTTTGCAGTTGCACTTTTCCCACAACCAGTTTTTCCGAGCAGCACCATCCTGATGGACTGTTCAGTTTGATTTCCATCGTCAGGTCCAGCCTCACTCTTGTGTTTAACTTCCTGCAGTTCAGCATCAACCATCATGAACCTCTCAATCTGAGCTTTGCTGAACATTTCCATTGTGAAGCACTTAGGTCCTTCAGCTCTCATCATTTCCACAGTTTCCAACAGCTCTGCAATCTGTGTCTTGCCCTTGAAAACAACATGTCTTCCTCCCCAACTCTGACAGAGCTCCTGGATGTCTTTGTCTTGTCTTATAAAGTTACCAACAGCTGGATCTGTAGGATCTGAGTCCACAGTGAACAGAATCATGGTGAAGTCATTGACTCGAGAGCTGAATGTGTTCTGGATGGTCTCTAACTCTCCCTTGTCTTCATCAGTGAGGGGAGCCACAGGTAGGACCAGGATGAAGGCATGGACACCCTCAGGATCACAGAGGGAGATACACCTGAGTGATTCCTCCATCACTGCCTCCTGAGGTTTTCCATACAAGGCAGGCAGCTCCACCAGGGAAACCCAACGTCCACACACCTCTCCCTGATGTTTAACACACTCTGATGAGTTGGAGGCTGAATGAAGCTCAGTCTGACCTAAAATGGCCTTGGCTGCTGACGTCTTCCCTGCTCCTCTCCTCCCACACAGAACCAGGTTTAAAGATGGTTTGATGATTATTGATTTGTCATTTCCTGAATCTTTTCATGTTCTTTTATGTCTTCAGACTTTGGTCTGATGGTCTCTTCGGTGACTGTGAGGAATTTTCCTTTGTTCTCATGCACGATGTTCTCAATCTTCTCCATTAACTGTCGATGATCATTTTCAAACATGTTGTAGTGTCTACCTTCACAATCTCTAAGTAGAGAATTAACTGAACGTCCCATCTTCTCCTCATCTGTGATGATGACCATTGAGTGTTTAAAGGCATCTCCATTAAACACACTCAGGGTCAAACTGAGAGTTTTTCTGCTCTGCACAGTGAAATCAGAAGGTTTCACCATCAGCAGCAGAACGTTTGGTCCAGGAGGACAGAGACTCACACAGCTCTTCATCTCTTCTCTCGCTGCTTTCAGAGATGGACTTAAGAAGTTGGGAGTTTTCACTACTGTTAAAGGTTTTCCTCTCCACTCTCCATGGAAAACTTGTCTGTCTGGAGAAAATCCTGAAAAATCGTAATTTTTCTTCACAATAAGGTTACAGAGTTCTGTCTTCTTTGCTGAGTTTCCTCCAAACAGCAAAATGCAGAGTCTACGTCCTGTAAAGGAGCAAAGATACAAACAGGAAATTACTCTCAGACAGTCTGACTGATCCTAAAAGCCTTTTGGTCTTTCTTCACTTTTTCCATCTTCAGTAAATGCTGCTTCATGTTTTTGGTGGATCGTTCCTTCTGAGCACTTTAGAAAGTGTCTTTATGTTAAAATATCTACAGATAGAGTTTGGGGTTTTTTTTACTTACCAACAGGCTGAGGATCATTCAGAGTAACAGGAGCTTCTTCTCTTTGTTCAGCGCTGGTGTGCTGACAGGTCACATGTGTTCCATGGTTCATTTCTACAATGCGTTCCATGTTTTCTAGTAACTCCCGAATGTTGAGGTTTTCAAGCTGCAGTGACTTGTTATTACATCGTCTGATCATTTCCTGTATATGTGTATGATACATGACACTATGCCGTAAACCTGGACGCCTGGGTGGTGATATCAGAACCAGTGAATGATCAAAGGAATGATCACTGAAGAAGTTCAGGACTCTGCAGAGTCTCGTTTTTTGATGCTCAGTGAAGTCTTCAGGCTGTAGAACCAGCAGGAACACATGAGGTCCAGGATCAGAGAGCCTCACACAGTTTCACATGTTCCTTTAATTTGTCCTCAGAGATGTTTGGATGAAGCAGATCTGGAGTGTTGATGAGAAATATTTCTTTCCCTTGAATCTGTCCGCTGACTCTCACACATCGGTCCAGTTCTTCCTCAGGGTTGAACTTGTTCTCTCCCAGTATAAAGTTTCCCACTGAGCTCCTCTCAGACCAGCTGTTCCCCAGCAGGACAGCTCTGAGCTCAGACACTGAAACGACAGCAAACACAAACACTGAACAAAGAATCTTTCAAAGTTAATACAAGCAGCAACAACATTATATCATAGGTTTGAATTAATCTAATTTTAATCATTTTCCACTTGTAACCACTGAGTTACTGAAAAATGCACAAAAATTGTCAGTTTGTTTAAATATGTGTTATTTTTTCTAGTATTTATGGATCATTACTGAGCCATAAATATATATTCACATGTGAGAATACAACATAAATTTTGAGAGTGAAAAATTGTCATGGTCCCTGTGCCTCCCCGGCCAGCCCAGTGTGGCCACAAGTGTTTGTTGTTTTTCTCTCGCTCTGCTCTCTCTCTCCTGTCTGCTTGGGCGGAGCTCTGATTGGGGAGCTCCTTGCCCCTGGCCCACGCACCTGCAGCTGATCTCGGTGATTTGCAGTTGATCTCTGGCTCTTCTTAAGAGGGGGCTCTGAGCTACTTGTCGCTGGAATATTGAGTAACTCTCGTTAGTATTGCCTGGCTTCATTGCGATTCTGTTGTTCCCGTGCTTGCCTTGGACTTAATCCTCGTCTCTGTAAATAGGTATTTCTGGCTCTGCCCTCATTGTGACCCCTGGACCCCGTGGGTGAGAGTGGAGCTGCTTGTGTGGAGATCAGGAGCGATTTTAGCCCATTTTTGGGGGTGCTGAATGAATCAAAGCACCCCCAAAGATTTCTTACTTTTTTGACAATATTTGCTGTTTGTGTGACACACTACTAAAAATATAAAAAGCATACAGTACTTGGTTGAGACGTAACATTTTAACAACAAAAGTATAGATACCCCCCCTCCCATAATGGTTTGTTCCAGCTCGCCTCTCCTCTACTCTGGCTCTAGCGCCCTTTCTGCCAGAGCGATGGTGGCTGAGACGCAGCGGAGCGTGTAAGTGCCTGGCTTAAAACAGGACATATTAGCTACATTTAACCTTCAGTTACTCTTTATATAGTTGGTAGGAGTCAGACCATGTTTCTTTGTAGCTGAAAAACATTACACCAGGTAACCTGCAGTGTGAAGAGTGGAGCCAGTACGAAGGCGTGTTTCCCAACCTGTTGACCCCCAGAACCCTGGTCTATCCCCCCACCCCCCCACCCCCCTGTGTATATAGCGCACCAGTGTGGTTAATAAAGAACTTTGAACCGTGTTCTCAGTCTGTGCCCGAGTCCGATCCACCGCTGTGACAATAAATACATGTAACCTCTGTTAAAAGCTCAGTTTAAATCCACAGTGTCATAATCTGAAGACCTATTTTTTTTCTCCTTGATCTGCATCATTACCACAGGATACATCACAGTTTCAATAAATTGCACCAACTTCATGTCTGTGGCATAGAGCTACATGAACACTGGTGTCCTGAATGTTTGATCTGTTAACATGAAGTTAAGGAGACATTTGCTGTAACCTCTCCCAGAAATGACCCCCAAAAGTTTACATAAAATAGTTTTCTTCACTTTTCTATACATTATATGAGCTTCTAAATGTAAAGAGAGAAAGCAGAATCTGTGCACTAAGAGGTTTTCATTATTCCAAACAGGCTTCACACTTCCTGCTATATTTTGTCTTCACCTGCTCCTGTCTAATGTCTTCCACCTTAAATTGCCCAGTTAAAGTTTGCATTAAACATAATCTTTTCTTTAAAAACTCACTGTGGGGTGGCACAAAATCAAAGCTCTTCCTGCGACGTCTGGGAAAAGTGTCTTGTGGTCCTGCAAAGATAAAGAAATAACTCTTCTTTTATTATTATTATTTGTAGTAGTTTATGCACTGAGACGTGTTATCCTGCAATGACTACATCAGATGGAACAAAGCACTTTTAATGTCAACGGCTGACTGTATGAACAGATCACATTAGTTCTGGGAAACTGTCGTCTCGTCTCTCTATGTACTGAACTGTATATAGCAGAGGAAACAAAGTTTACTTTGAAAGATTATTAAATATGACTGTTAATTTTCAGAAAACACATTCTGACAAATGTTATTGGTTAAACACATTGTTAAAGTATGCTACATGCAACACAGCAGCCTGGTTCAGATGAGACCTGCTGTAAAATATTCACCTGTAGTCACATCGATTATCCTCTAATAATCACGTTTTCTTCATTTTTTTCACATTTCTCCAAACAGGAGAAACCAAGAAACAATTAAATTACTGTCAGAAAGTGCTTGTAGAGGGAGGTAACTCACAGGTACTGCATGTAAGTGTGACAAAGTAAGACTCACCAGATGCTGCTGCCATGCTGTCATTCAGCTGCAGAACTCACTGACTGTGGAGTTGAAAAGAAAAAAAGAACAATGTTCTAAATATTCACAACAAAGTGAACAAAATCTTCTGTCTTCAGAAGCGTGACTGCATTTAAAATGTTGCAGAACAGAGCATGCTCATTCCCGATGTATAACATACACATCGGGAATGAGAACAGGTCCCGAGGTGTCCCATGAGAACGCAAAAGGTTACCTTCCGTGTCCCTATGATACGTGTGGATGGAATCCAATAGGTTGATGCTCCCGGTGGTGACACGTGTATTCCAGCCTTAACCCTAATTATAACCATAATCGCTAACTTTAACCACAACTGTGTTAAGATAGTGTTTTCCAAAGTGATTCATGATGAGAAAGTAAAATAAATGTACATGTGTAGATTCAGTCCAAACGTTCTCATGTTTCCTCCTGTTTCCGAACGCTTAACATAGGACAGTGTTGGGTGGCCAAAAGCATAACATACCGACTTTGTCACATAAGTGGTATGGTTTGCTTTGGGAGTGAGAACGTGTTGGGCAGAGAGTACATTTCAGATTGTTGTTCACTTTTAAGGTTTCAGTGCTGGTTTGATCGTAGAAGTTTTCGGTGCATTTAATGCTTCAATAGTAAATCTTGAATGTCAAAGTTATTAAGGTTCAGTAAATATTCTAAATCTTCTCATCCTTTGGGGAAATAATTTAACACCATGCTGAAAGTTTGCTTCCCTCTGCCATCTCTGGTCACATGGTTCAGATTTTATTTATTCAGATCAAAACCATTATTACTGCAAAGTGTGACTGAGTGTGCTTAGATGTGTCTCTGGGGAAATTTCAATCCAGCAAGGTGAATAATTAAACCATCACAGTAATATCTGTACCTGTCTGCCAGAGAAGTTGTTGACTGAGTAACATGGGTGTGTCAGCAATCACTCTGGAGTTCGATAAAGATTCAATCAAACTCTGTAATCACTCATCTGTCAGCTTTCCTGGTGTTCAGGCTGCTCGTCTGTTCTTTATGTCTAAGTTCTCAGTCATCCAGTTCATGATAGTCTGAGGAGCTTGGAAAGGAGGTGACTGGGTTTCTTTAAGTCTTCATGCTCATTACACAAGTCTATTCTTTACATCACTTCTACTTTTCCATGTTTTCAGATTTAATTCTGTCTTAACGCTAATCCAATAATTTTCTTGCTCACCTTCTGTAAGCCAGTCAGATTCTGTTCTGTGTGCTTTAAATATCTGTTCTCGTCTTTCAGTCTTTCAGTCTTCCTTTCAAACTCATTTATGCAGCACGCTTCCTCCCAGTCTCCGCTTCACCTTTGTCATTCGGAGCGCTGCCTTTGTCTTTGCATCCACCAGCATCTAGACTCTGGGTCTGTCCTCATTCCAATTATTGTGAACCATCTGCTATGATGGATCATGGAAGCCTATTCCACCTCAGCATGTAGTCTAGAGAGTCTTTAATGTTATTCAGGTGTGTTGCAGCAGGGACACAAAAGTTTCAGGACACAGGCCCTCGAGGACTGGAGTTTGAGACCCCTGCCAAAGACCGGAAAAACACCCCCACCACCCCTCCTTTGTGGGGTTTTGGAGTCTCAGGGTGTTTGTGTGTATTACTACCAGAGATGGGCAGTAACGCGTTACTGTAATCCGATTAACTTTTTTCAAGTAACGAGTAAAGTAAGGGATTACTATTGCAAAAACGGTAATTAGATTACCGTTACTTTCCCGTAGGAACGCTGCGTTACTGCGTTACTAAAACCGTGATTTTTTTGCAAGAATGTCTCATGACAGTGACGTAAGCGAGTGCGACGTTCGTGACAACAGCTGTGTGCAGATCAACAATGGATCATATATCGAGTGCAGAGAGAGTATGAGCGTGCAGCGTTTAAAGCGTGGAAGTACTGACCTTCTGT